CTCGCGGCAGGCTGCTCGGTGTCTTCGGCCTCCGGGGCCGTCTCCTGGCCCTGGAGCCGTCAGGAAGCAGCTCGGGATGAGAAACTCTGTCCCTGGAAGTGGTCGAGATCCCTGGGGGCCCACATCGGGAAAGCAGTGCGTCGGCGGAGGAGACAAGTGTGAAGGCTCGTCCATGGGAAGAAGAAGAGCCACTCTTGTCCTTCGCTCTCAAGTCCGCTCCTGAGTTCCATTCAGCACGAATGCGTAATATCAGCACGACTGAGATTGGCAGTACGCCGGTGAGCAGTACAAGTGCGAGCAGCACCCTGGGGGTCCTCGGCACGACGGGGACTAGCAGTACGCCAGAGAGCACGAGTGGTACAAGAACGGCCCGTGGCCGTAATTTGATGGTTGATCGTGATGCCGAGCCTTGGATAGTTCTGGGGGGGTGGGACTCTGCGCCCTGTTGGGTGGGCTGTGCGGGGGTTGCGTCCATAGGTTTCGTGATGCCTCTTGAAAGGCTTCCTCGGAGGAGTGGGAGCGAGGTGTTCGATGGGGACGTGACGCCGCGAGGTGGCGGCGGGTGCGGCGTGACTCCCCGCCTGTGGAACCCTCGCTCCTTTTGATCGTGAGTTCTCTCGTGCCTGGGCCGAGGGGGGGTAGCTTATTCGAACTGCCCCTCTCAGGTATCCTTCTCCCCTCCCCCCAGCGAGGACCATCATAGATAGGCCTTACCAGTGAGAACCGCCATGAGGCCTCACACCCTTCGCAGCTTCCATCATAGGGGCACCTCGGTTCGAGCCAAATCCCCACGAACCTGGCACTGCACGTGCAGTACCAGAGGTGGCGGCCCGTCTCCAATCCAACCATCACAGGGGGATGCGAAGTCCCTGAAGACGGGACGGGATGGGCACGAGTGGGCATCATAGCCGGCTCAAAATCAAAAGAGGCATCACAGCCTCATCATTGACATTGTAGATTGCTTCACTCACGGACCCAATACCGTGTGTTTCCTCGATGCCGTTCATTTCTTGTGCAGCAGCGTGCTCTCCCCGACGTCATGATTTGTGTCACAACGTGGGCCCACGGAGGTGTCGCCCCATTCCCCAGGACCAGCCTGTCATCCCGATTCGTGTCTGACGGTCCCGAAGCCTGACGAGGGCCCCCAGAAGCCGAAAATAGCGCAAGAAGAACAAGTGGGCGCACATTTGAAAGCGGGGTGGAAATGGGGAAGGTAGGGGGACGCGGACTCGACATGGAACGGTGAGATTCGAAAATAGCGAAAAAAAACTGTCCGTCGTGATTTTTTGGTGACGCGAGGGGGGCTGGGTCGGAGGAGAGGGGAAGGCTCGCCACGGAGATTCGCCGCTGGTCGGCCGTGGGGTCTCGCCTGGAGGGCCCCGCGAGGGCCAGAAGAGGGCCGCGGAGGGAGCCGAGGGATCGCTGCCGGTTCGCCCCGGGGTTCGCCTTGAGGTTGCTATGGGGGAGGGGGGCCTCCTCCTCCTCCTCCTCCTCCTCCTCCTCCTCCTCCTCCTCCTCCGCTGTTGGGGATGCCTCACATCCCATTTCCTTATGAATAACTCCTCCCTGTCGCAGCCTCCAGACGTGTCGGTATAGCGGGCTGGGCGTTTCGCATTGGACTTCCTCGCCATGTTTGACCCCGAAGTTTGAAAGCTGCACCGGCTTCAAGGATGGAGAGCGGGTGACTTTCACAATATGGCTCTCGCCTTAGCGCCGCGCAAATACTCTTTCAAAGTTTGCAACAGCTTCAAGGATGGGTGGTAGGTCATTTTCAACATGTAGCTCTCGCCTCAGCGCCGCGCACATCCACAATGAATGTTTTAAACGCTTCAAAGTTGCAGGGCGGATGGCTTGCAAACTGTGGTTCTCGCCTGAGCGCCGCGCACATTTGTCCTAAAAGTTTGCAGCGGTTGCAAGGACGAAGGGCGGGTGGTTTTCAAACTGCGGTTCTAGCCTTAGCGCCGCGGGCGCTCGTTGCAAAAGTGCGCGACTGTTCCAAGGATGCGTGCGAGGAAGTCCCAGGAGCGGTGCTCTGGCACGACTTAGGAACGTCAGGACGCGACAGTCACGTTGATTCGCGGTGATGAAGTCGGAGAGATGATATTTCTGCACGATTTCAAATTGTCAAGACTCAGCAGTCACGCTGATTCGCGTCGTTGAAATCCCAAGAAATGCGTTTTGGCACGATAAAATAATTATCAGACGATTGTCTTCCGATGGGGCACTTCCCGCACCTTGTACCCCTGAACACACCAAAAGAACTCCACAATGCACATCCTCAGCCGCCATTCGGCTCAAAAACTCGCAAAGAAAAACGGATGCAGCCCACGAGCCGACCTGCGATAGGCAAGCTCATGGGGTGCATCGTGGCCTGAGAGAGGGCGGGACCGTGAAAAGTAACGAATATTTCCCCCCGCCGTCGGCCGCAGGCCAGAGGATACATAAGACGATGCGACCCGCGAACCGGAATGGGCAGCGTGGGTGCAATAGCTGCATGCCCAGACAGGTGATAGCCACGTTGCGAGCCAGGAAAAAATGTGTTGTAGGGGCCATTGAGGAGGGAATTTGGACGGAGAATGTATTATAACATCGTTGTTGCGTTTTGGATGTACGCTGGTCCTTCTCCTAATTTTCCTGATCTTCATCCTCCTCCACCTCCACCTCCACCAACATCATCGTCGCCGTCATCATCCTTATCCATACCTTCAACCTCATCAACATGTTCCTCCATCTCCTGCTCCTCCCCCTAGTTATCCTTATCCTCCTCCTCCGCCATGTCATCAGAGCTCAACCTCCTCCTCCCCATTTCCATCTTATCATAATGCTCCGCGCCTTCCGCTAAAAAATGCCCTTCTAGTCCACAATGTCCACCTTATCAGCCACCTCATCATCATCATCATCATCATCATCATCATCATCATCATCATCATCATCATTATCATCATCATCATCATCATCATCATCATCATCATCATCATCAGTACCGTCATCACCAACGTCGTCATCATCAGAATCATGATCATAATCTGAATCCTCATCAGCATCACCATCATCATCAGCAGCAGTACCACGAGAATCACCATCATCATCATCAGCATCATCATCAACATCACCATCATCATCAGCAGCAGCATCCTCATCACCATCGTCATCATCATCACCATCAGCATCATCATGACCATCCTGAACAGAATCTGAATCATCATCATCAGCATCATCAAACCCCTGTTCATCAGCAACATCAGCATGTTCATCATCATCCTCGAGCAAGGTTCACGCGGGTCTCTTCGGCGCATGTGGGCGTTCAGGCGTTCAGTCCATGAGGCAAGGCCCCCTACCCAGATTGCCCACAAGGGGGCGGGACGGAGGAGGCGACGTGAGAACACAAGGGGGAGAGAAGGGGGGGAAGGAGGGAGGGCGGAAGGCAGGGAGGGAGGGAGGGAGGAGGAGGGAGGGAGGGAGGGAGGGAGGAGGAGCCGGAACGCAGCCGAGGGGTGCCCGACGTCTTCCAAGTTTAACTACCACCGCTGCTGCGCGTACTGCCGACCTCAATAAGGTGGCTCAGCGCAAGGGTGGGGGGGGCTGATATCTGTTTGGGACGATGCCCCTCGGCATCTCGACATCGACACACTGAAAGTGGCACCTCTGGGCGATGTCAGGGCCATTGATGGAGGAGGGGGAAGGAGGCTCGAACGGCCCAGACCTCGAGGGAAGAGAAGACCCCCAAGCGACTCCAGAATGCTCAAGAGCCCGCAGGTTCAAAGAAAAGGTCCCGAGAGGCACACAGGACCCACACCCAGGCACGGCTGGGCCCCAGGACACAGCAACCGAGTCCCCAGGGTCAAGCAGCGGAGAGGGGCCCGCAGGGCTCGAAAAAAAGGTTCGACTGCACAGACTGAACAACAGAGGGCGGTGCATGCCTTGGCTCGTGGCGTTCATCACGTGGCTCAAATGGGGGGCGACCATCCACTGCACGAGCCAGCTTCACCCCTGCGAGGAGCGTCGAACGACGAAGAAGGTTCCGCTGTCCGCGGTGGAGCGGGATTCTTGCGTCGACGCGGATCACCTCCACAAAGGCCAGTCCTGCGGCATACGCAGCAGTCCCAACGACTTTGCGCGACACCAAATGGCAGCGATGATACTGAGCGACAACGAAGGCCAACGAGCCATGTCGCAAGCACAATCGAAATTCAGGAAGCCAGGGAGACCCATTCTCCGCGCAAGGGCGGCAAAGTGCACGTTCCTCGGACAACCAAGAATAGAATGCTGAATGGCGTCGCGACCTAACTGACACCCATACTTACATGGGGCTGCTCGCTGCACCCCATGATTGGTGACCAGCATCCTAAGAAGGTCTCGAGTGCGACGGTGGCACATGCGCGGGGCGCGTTGCATAGACACATCTGCAGCGCTGGCAGATCCACCTCATCAGTGAAAAAGAGACGCCTGAGCCGCCGACGAACAAGCGTTCCGAGGCAAGGAAGAAAGACCGCTCTCGTGAGCACAGCGTAGAAGAGATCATGCCATGTCATGCGGCAGCCCACACGGCTGTCTGCTTCCAGTCACACATCTCGATCAGCAGCACGAGCGAAGCAAGCCAGTAAGGCATCAGCGCCGAAGAGCTCGGCAACCAAAGGCGGAATCACACGTGCACGACCGCCGAATAGCTCACGCACTGCAGCACCACCCTTCGCCAGGCGCGGGCCAGTTGCGAAGCCAGCACCCGCATCAGCAAGCGCAGCGGCGAACGGGGGGGGCCCCCCAGAAGCTGGGGGCCACGAGGGGCGAGCCCCGCATGTCCATCGCGCCGAAGTCGACGAGTTGGGCGCGCAGGAGGCGGAGCCCCTCCGCCCACGTAGAGCATGTAACAACAGTTGATCGCATACGCGCGGCCGCAGCAAGCGCGAACATGGAGTCAAAATGCGGGCCGTTCCACGCGCCGGGCGAGAAGCGGCCCCCAGTGCGCAGCATGGAAAACGGCGCTCGCAATGGACGGGCGA